GACGGTGCGTATCAATCTTGTTGGCAAATATCGTAAATTGACTAATATATCGGCATGTATTTAAATACTAAATCCAAAGTACAATTTAACTACTAAATTTAAATTTATCAGTGAACTCAATTTCAGGCTATTTGAAATTCTAATACATAACATATGTTATTACAGATCCCTTTGTATACTTTCTCTTACTTTCAGATTGTGCATACAAATTAAAGCTTCTCTTTTCTTGGGCGTGGGTTGGTTCTGAAGTACATCTCTGGATTTCGGAGCTGGCAAACCGGTTTGAATCCATACAATACTAAAAAAATATTACTCGGACTTTAAGCTGTGGATGTACTTTGTCTAAGGAGATATAGTTACATTACAGAATCAACTTAAATATAATATTTTTGCCTTAACCTTTTTTATTAGAACTTAAGTCGGTATTCGACAGCACTACAAAAGGCTAACAGTATAAAACATATGATATAAATGATATCAATTTAATTTATCCAAAGTCGTAAAGTTTTGCTTTAAGCTTGTTTCCAGTGACAGAAACAAGCTTCGGTGTGCGAAATACTTTAAATCATTTCAAAAATGGTGAACAGAAAACCCAGGAGAAAACATAGTGTTGTGATAGAAGTATTTTCAAAAATGAGATACTTGTATTGTGATAAGTAGTTGTCAACTGAGACAGAATCAATAATCTTAGGCATCAATACACACTTCAGGGTGTAAAACCATCTAATTATGTTATTAACATTGGCTTTTCTAAAAGCTAATGTAATTTAAGGGAGAAAATTAGATCGAGAATTTCCAAGAAAAATCATATTTATTGGTGAGTGTATTGATATATTTCTTTTATAGGAAATTAATAAGTTTAGGAATGTTCCTCGGTGGGTCAGTGGAAAGTTTGTAGAATTACAGCGGTAAGATCCGAGGTTCGATCCCTCGCGGTGACCAGAGCGCAGAATACCCCAACGTGTGGCTTTGAGCTAAAACACAAATTTTAGGAGATTGAAAGGTGGGAAAAATCAGTTTTACAGAGCTAATTAATAAGAGAGTGTTCAGGTATTCCTACTTCTAGTTCAAGTTTTATAATGGCGTGAGGATTCTGGAGATATCATAAAAATGTTGCTCCATTATTTATTTAAATGTATTTCAACACAGCATCTAATTAAATAACTTAATTCTTGTTCATGATACTAATGACGTGTTTCCAAACGAATACCCCCTTTTGCCCCTCTCTTATGCCGTGGTTGTGTTATAAAATTGCCTCATGTATCTCAGCAATAATTCCGAGAACATATTACGCTAAAAATAGGATTTCGATACTCGTAGTCGGCAGAGCACAGATATTTCATTTTGTAGCTTTCTTCTTAGCAAAAAACAAACACTTGTTTTAAAAACGACAGTGAAATTCAACTATTCGATCAAATAAGTGTAGTCCAAGAGTTGGCAATGAATGATATTGATTAGCTGCCTTCCCTCTAGTCTATCAGCTCAAACTAAGGGACGGAAGCGAAGATAATCCTTGAATGTCTTTGTGTAAATATCCGGAAAAAATTTACATGTGTTATTTGTGTTAAAATCTGTTCCTCATGTAAATATATATATGGACATATTTTATTTATTTATTTTCCCTTTATAACCTTAATCTCAACTAGTTTGGGGTCGGCCTGTATTTTCGTAAGCCCAAACTTCTTACACCCAGGACGAGCTTGTTCAGTAATGGGGATTCGAACTTGCCACCCTAAGCTTAGGAGTCGAGCACGCTAAACACCAGGCTATGCCAGACCCATATTTTATTTACACTAAATAAAAGTTCGTAATGAAAACTAACTGCACCTTCCACCTGTAAGTACACACATCCCGTTATGAGTGAACAGAATTTAAAACGGTGGTTCTGTGCTTCAAATTACACCGAGTAAGATAACACAAGTATCATGAATATACCCACTTGTATAGCTATTGGAACACATTTCACGAATAACGTTGATTTTGCGAAATACACATATTTTTTTTTTCATTTTAAATGTGGTATGGCTAAAATACATAGATATTTTATACATTTAATATTTACTGCCCCCCTGTAGTGGCGAGTCCAGATGGAAAATTACATTAATTGCACAATTCCGTAATAACCAACAAGACTGCAAAACAACAACATATTATTTGTAAAAGTTAGTTTACGGAAACTTTGGACGATGGTATGTGCTTCTAGACATTGATTAAATGTAAAAATTGAGACAGAAATAAGACATTGAGTATGCACCGTAGTAAAAGTAATGACGAAATTTAAAAAAAAACAAAAAAATATTTTTCTTACAATGTGCTCACAAGCGTTTTAAGTGAAAATGTGTCATCAGTTCTTATATTCTCATAATGTCGTATATGACATCCGAATTCCGCAAAACAAATACAATTTGGGCTTGATTAATTTTAAAATATCTGCCTATTGCAATTATGAATTAACATTTTGGAAATAATTAAATCTAGTTTTTACTTTGTGGTATACATAAAATACCGGCAAGAATAGAAATTTCATAATATTAAGTTAATTTTTCATTAGGGAAAGAAAATATGTTAAGTTGATTCTAAAAATATTTATAAACGTAGATTCAATTTATCTAACAATGACTATTTTATTGGTAATAATCATATCAGAAAATACTCAAAATACATGGTAAGTAGCCATTCGTTAAAACGTATAAATATAAAATTTCGCTACATTGTAATATTTTCATGTTTCTTGTTGTAAGTTTTGAAATACATTTTGCTTCTCTGTCAGTTACTATTTGTAACTATATCTCATAACTGTTAAGGACTTACAACGCTAGAATCCTGGGTTGGATTCCCTGAGGTAGATAAAGCGCAGACAGCCCATTGTATAGCTTTGAGCTAAAACGAATACAAACACCCTGTCACAGTTGTGACCGAGAGTCATCACTGTTGTAATGTTTTGAGTTAGTAAGTACTTAGTAAGCCAGGAGTTTTCAAAAACTATTAGGTTGCGTTTCGGAACACTTTCATTAACCACCCCCCAAAAAACGTACATCACTTATAATAGTTAAACGAACTGCCTAAACGGCACGTTAGTGTAGCCTATATAATATGTAAAGTTTAGTATAATCTAATCCCTTATAGACGAGACACACATTTGGCATGTAATGCTGTTTGAATACAAGAAGGGAGACAATGCCTCTGTAGCCACAAAGAATATCAAAGAAGTTTATGGAAGTGTTTTGAACGTTCGTAAGTGTCAACGATGGTTCAGCAAATTTCGTTCAGGTGACTTTAGCCCTAAAAACTGTGATGGCAGGGGCCGACATGTTGGAATTTATATTGATGCTCTGAAAATGCTTGTTGAGTCTAATCCAAGGCAACACACTCGTGAAATGGCCCTGAAATTGCATGCCTCTTATAAAACACTACGTAAACATCTAAGGAATAAGGGAAACTACATGAAGAAGGTGTTTGGGTTCCTCACAAACTCCCCGATGATCATCGTCTCCAACGTGTGAACCATTTTTGAAGAGAATTTTCACCGGTGATAAAATGGATTCTCTATGCGAATATTAAACGCCTAAAGCAATGGCTCAGTCCTAGACAAAAATCCCAAAAAACCTGGACTCCATCCTCAGAAAGTGATGTTTTGCATTTAGTGGGACATCGAAGGACTAATTCATTTCGAACTCCTCAATCCACAACGAACTGTCAATGCAGAGATCTATAGTCAGCAACTGGAACGTTTAAATCAAGCCCTTTATCAGAAACGCCCTTCTGGAGTTGGGGTGGGAAGTTTTCCCTCTCACCCACCATATTCTCCAAATATGGCACCATCAGATTACCATCTTTTTCGTTCGCTCCAACACCATTTTAATGGGAAAACGTATGCAAATGTGGAGGACATCGACATGTTTTTTGATTCAAAGCCAAGTGATTTCTTTAGTCAGGGCATTAACAACCTGATTGTAAGATGGAAAAGCATCATTGATAAGAATGGAGACTATTTCATTTACTAAATGTTTTGTTTTGATAAATAAGTTGTTCGGGTTTTTTCATCTAAAAACAAGCGACATTAATTTCTTGACGACCTAATATTTATATCCTCACAGAAAAGTGTGGTAAAGTAAGTGTGGTTTCAAATCTGAATATACTGAAATGTATTACTTGTTCTTATTAATGAAAGAAGTCTATTTCTTTTATGTGTGCACCAGTGGGATGATCGATTAATAAATCACAACCAAGAGTCTATTGGGTACATTGGATTTGTTGTTATTATTCACCTTTATTCAGAAGTGACGATTACATTCATAAATACATGTCGTATTTAGCACTAATGTTCACCTACAATAAAATCATTAAAAAAACCAAAAACATCTTATTTGAGATAAAGTAAGTAGTGAAACATTAGCAAAATAACGCTTCATTCATGCCAGTCCCCAATTGAGAATAAATAAACCCATTCAGTATACTTTTAATGTGTGAATTCGTAGCATAGCTTCTTATTTGAAAATTGTTGTTTTGTAATACTTGTTACGTGTTTTGGTCCGATGTCCCCATTGTTATTTTCTGTTACTCCTTCAAGTCTGTCTTTTTTTTTTTCTTCTAATGGTAATCAGTCAGAGACGTACGTTTCAGATTGTTTTCGAATATCAAGTGTGTTATATTTCGCTTGTTGCCCAGCGATTTGTACATTGTCTGAATACAATGTTTTCTTTGGTTTAATAAATATTTTAGTGAGTATGTAGGACAATAAACGTCAGAACATTAAAAGTATTTAAAGATAATCTCTCACACAACCCTAGGAGTTTTCAGATAACAGTACAAACACAGATATTCATAATGACAAAGCAAATGGTTAATAAACTAGTCATGCTCCTTCGGGTTTCTGCTGAATTCTCGATCGTGGCTGAAAACAAAGTAATATTAATGAGGATGATACCAAAATTATGATCTAATTAATATATATTAAAATCTTACAATAATTTAGTAATATTACAAAAAATAGTTAAAACTCAGAATACATACATAATTGATTCTAAATATTATGATTCAGTTAGTTTTTTACTTCAAAAGTTTCTATAACTTGTTGTGTGTTTAATGACGTTACATCAAATTAACTCTACATTTCAAATAATTCAAAAATTGCGATAAAAAAGGAGTTGAAGCAATAGTCAAGAAACTTTGTAAAACGCTCTTATTTTCACATTTTCAGAAAATTTTCATAACGTAGTTTGCTATAAATATCACTTTTATGCTCTTACTTTACACTGTTGTTAGTTCGGAGACTTAAATACCAACGAGTTTTTAAAAAGCCTTAGAACTGACTGTAAGTTTACCCTATAGTTTCATACGCTCATCACCAGGCATTCGCTTTGAGGTCAAAGTTGTAGCATTTGATAATTTTCGTTACAGCTATGTGAATTTTATTGTACGTTTAACGACACCAAGTTTTATATATAGTTAGTTTTATTCATAAAATATTTGACGCACAACAAATATCCAGACAAACAATAGTGGAGATTTACGGTAAAGCTCGTATTGATGTGCACATCTCTCGGCCCTTCAACAGTGTTATAATTTTCAGGTGGCGCTATAGTTGTCATAAATAAATGCTATAAAACTGTCAGTTGTCTGTATGATGACGCAAGTTTGGGGAGGAAAATGTGGGTTATTGATGTCTGAAAGCACATCTTGTACCTTTTCCCTGTTTGCTGCCCCAGAAATTTTTAAATACTATGAAAAAAAGTGTTTTTGTCCTTCATAATATTATTATGCTACGGTGTGCGTGTGTGTGTGCGCACATCATTTTCCACTTTACTGTGTTGTTTTTTAGCTGTTTCATAATGTTAGGGCATTTGTAAGATATCAAATATTTTACAAAAACTACGTATATTTTGAAAAAGGGGGCTACTTTATGCTAAACCAGCAGCGAAAAAACTACTCTCTCTGTTTCACCATTCCATATTTCGAAAGGCAAAAATATTTTGTGAATTTATGAAAAAACAAAACAAAAATAAACTTAGGTTTGATTTTAAAACTAAACTACGAACCAGTTTTAAATCGGGACTTCCTTATGAACGATTTTTTTTTTCTTTCACTGGCACCTATGGAGAATAGTTAGATCATCTTATACATGTATGAGTACCAATTCCGGCGAACAGGTTAAGCCTAGCTCTATTTCTCCCATCCCCCGTCATCCTGCTCCCAGCGGCACAGCTGTATGTATGCGGACTTACAACGCTGGAAAGTGGGTTTCGATACCCGTGGTGGGCGGAGCACAGATAGCCCATTGTGTAGCTTTGTGCTTAATTTCAAACAAACAAACCCCCGTCATCCATCCTCAAATATTAAAATCTCAAAGGTAAATGTGTATATAATGTTATGTTCAATTTTCCTTAATGTAAATTTAATATATTGTTATGAATGTGATACCGTATTCACATTGATGTATGAAATATACTACAAATAAAATTCAATATTGTACTTTATAACGTATCAAAAGAGTAAAAAATCCATTTCCAAGTATGGAACCACACAGAGAAAAAAAAGAGTGGAATAAAATACATTCTCTGACTTGACTTTAATGTTTCCTCTCAGTTTGTAAGTTAGGCTAGAAACAAATGTGAAACCTTTTCTTTTTGGATAGAAAGTCCATTTTATTTTATTTTCATGTGCAAAAATAGATATTTTGGCAGTGCAAGAAAGTCTATAACTTTGTTTTATATTAAAAAAATTGCAGTTGTAAGAATAATTTTTAATACATTTTTGAAAGCAAGCCCACGAAATTATTTATTCTAGAGCTTTACATTTAAAATAGTTAGTAGATATACGTTTAAGTTTAAACTTTATTTTAGCGCTTTACTGCTATAAGTAGTTAACAAATTTCAGGCATATAGATTGGGAAATGCTAGAGTCAAACCAAGAAGGAGAAAGGTTTTTGAAAACTGTTCAAGATGGCTTTCTTCACCAATTAGTCAAGGAACCTACTAGAAACAATGCTATTTTAAAATTATTATTAACTTCAAATATAGAAATGATCGAGAGGGTGGAAATTGGGAAACATCTGGGTGCAAGTGATCATTGCCCTATTAAGTTCGATGTTTTGCTGCATATGGAGGTAAGGAATAATGATATTTTGTTTACCGATGTTGAAGGGATGCGATAAGAATTATCTGTCGTGAATTAGGTATCTGAGTTATTTGGAGACACTAATCAGATGTGGAAAATTTTAAAGATAAATTTTTAAATATTCAAGGTTAACATACTCTTTATGAAAGAAAAGGATAGCTGCAGGTAAAAAAAACAGGTTGGCTCACAAAGAGTTTAAGAGATAAAATTAAAGAAAAGCAATAAATTCAAGAAACTGTTGTGACAAGAGACTTAGAGGATTATATAAGATCAAGAAAGTTGGTGAAACAGGTAATTAGGACATCAAAAAGGATGTATGAGAAAAGGTTGGCGGAAAATGTAAAAATTAACAGTAAGGATTTATTTAAATACACTAAGAAGGTCGGACCTTTGAGGGATGATAAAGGAAGGCTAGTATCTGATGATTATGAGATGACTGGGTTATTCAATTTTGCTTTTTCTTCGGTTTTTACTAACGAAGATTTAAGCATTATTGCATTTCTTAAACAGTTGATAAATGGAAACGAAATCAAACAAGATGACTGCATTAATTCTCAGCAGATTAAGAAAAATTGGTAAGTTTGAAAAACGATAAGTCTCCTAGGCCAGATAATATTTCCCCAAGGTTTTTGAAGGAAGTTAAAGATTGGATATGTGAGCCACTCACTACTATTTTTTGTCAGTCCTTGAATAGTGGGAAGGTACCAGAGGATTGTAAGTTAGATAATGTAACTCTTCTTTTTAAGGAAGATGGTAAAAATTATCCCAGTAATTATAGACCCATTAGGCTTACATCAGTTGAGGGAAAGTTTTGGAAAATCTGTTAAAAGTTATTTTGCAAAGTCATTTAACAAAGTTTAGAATTTTATTGGATAGTCAACATTGTTTCACTAAAGGAAAATTTTGCCTTACAAATCTTATGACCTTTTGTAGATGAGGGTAAGCGTATAGATTTGGTGTATCTGAATTTTCAGAAGACATTTGACAGAGTGCCACATAAAAGGCTTGTAAGAAAAATATCTTTATAGGTGTGGGGGATAAGTTAGCAAATTGGATAGAAGAGTGGCTGAATGGAAGAAAGCAGAGGGTTGTTATAACTGGAGTTCAGTCAAACTGGGTTAATGTCACAAGTGGAGTACCTCAGGGCTCAGTCTTAGGACCTTTGGTCTTTTTTATTTACATCAATGACATAGATGAAGGAATAGTCAATAAATTACTTAAAGTTGCAGATGATCTTAAGGTCTTGGGTGTTGCTAGCTGTGAAGCGAATGCTGCTGATTTACAAAATGATTTAGATCATTTAGTGAGTTGGGTAAATAAATGGCAGATGGGTTTCAATTATAATAAATGCAATATAATGCATGTGTGTTATCATAATCTGAATTATAATTACAATTTGGATGGGAATAACCTTAACAGTGTTATGAAGGAAAGGGATCCTGGTGTAATAGTCGATCAGTTTCTAAAGCCATCTAAGCAATGTGCTGTTGCTAGTGATAGGGTAAATAGGATTTTAGATTGTATCTACAGAAATATTGAATACAAGTCTAAAGAGGTTATAATTTCAATGTACAGGTCACTGATTTGGCCACATTTGGAATATTGTGTTCAGTCTTGAGCTCCTTACCTTAGGAACTATACTGAATTCTCGGAAAAGGTTCAGAAGAGGGTTACTAGAATGGTGCCTGGGATGGAGGGGTTTTCATAAGAGGAGAGGTTGAAATCTCTCAAAATCTTTTCTCTTGAAAAAAGAAGAATGAGGGAGGATCTGATTGAGGTCTTTAAGATTGTAAAGGGAATTGATAGTGTTGATGCATCATCTTCTTTCATATTTAACAGTGAGAATAGTAGGAGTAGGGGACACAAGTATAATTTTTGGCAAGGTAGGTGTTTTCTACACCTCAGATAATTTTATTTTTCTAACAGGGTGGTTGGCTTTTGGAATGAGTTGCCTTCGGATGTTGTAGAAGCAATAAATTTAAGTGAGTTTAAGAAAATGATTGATAAGTATATGAATGATAAGGGTTGGCTTTAAGATTATTTTTAATTATTTTAATTTAGTTTAGAGGATGGAACAGACGAGATGGACCAATAGGGCCCATGTTGTCCCAAAACGTTGTTATGTTAAATATACGTTTAACCTTAAAAGGGATTCTAGTTATCTGTTAAGCTCACTTTTATGAGAAAGATTAAACTGAAAGGTTTTCGATTTTTGTTTTTGAGTTTTATCCTATAAAATCCTTTGAAAACCATTCCGATCTCAACAGAATGTATATTACTCTAGCTTAAGTTTGTACAATATGAAAATAAAATCTATATGCATTATTAAAAACCATATTCACCACACGGTAAAAAAAAAGAGACCGACAAAGACGATGTATAACATAACCATATTATGGACAACTTTCATTAAAAAACTCATAACTATTCAGATGTTACCTTCCACAGAAGGTGGATCCTTTTCCAAGCCGAATCCCCTAGAAGATTTTGCAGATCCCCGGCTCTGGTGCTTTAGGAAATCTGTAAAAAACAAAAGAGTGTTATTCATATTAGCCGGCCCCCCAGTGGCCCAGTGGTATTTCCGCGGAATTACAACGCTAGAATCCGGGTTTCGATGCCCGTGGTGGGCAGAGCACAGATAGCCCTTTGTGTAGCTTTGTGCTTAACTACAAAACAAACAAACATATTAACCGAAATTCAAGTTTCTTTAACAATGAAAATTAATAAAATAGTAACAGGAATACGAGAAGTGTAGAAATTCCGTTAGAAAAATCACCTTATCCAGAGTTTTAACCCCTATTGCGAACATTAAAAACATGACAACTAGTCACCTTATCCAGAGTTTTATCCCCTATTGCGAACATTAAAAACATGACAACTAGTCACCTTATCCAGAGTTTTAACCCCCATTGTAAACATTAAAAACACGACAACTAGTCACCTTATCCAGAGTTTTAACCCTTATTGAAAACAATTGAACTTCCTGTCGCTGAAAATGTTTGTTTAAGTTAAGATCATTGTTTATCGTTGAATACAAAGCTACACAATAGAGTGTCTGTGCTCTACCCACAGCGGGTATCGAAACCCGAGTTTTATCATTATAACCCTTAGAATTACCTCCGAACCTCTGGGGTATTGAGTTAAAAAACTGAAACGTTGGATTAATAAAAAAATAATTTGAAGCCTTGTAATTACAAAAAGTGAGTATTGTACACCACTCAGCACTAAAAACACTGAAATAATTAGGTATTCATTGGATGATATATACGACTAACTTTTGTGACGTCGCTTTTTATCTTTCTCTGTTTCAAATTTTACAGAAAGGTGAGGTTTTATTTATGCCTATTTTTTAAAAAGATTATTCTATAGATTCAAACTGAATACAAATAAAGCTATATGCTTAAAAATAACAAATGTTTTAAAATATTTTTGATAGTATTGCTAAAATCAAAGTAATTTTACAGCGTAGAGATAAGGTTGGTACGTTGTATGAGATGCCAGCTTCATTCATGGCCGACATCAGCACATTATATTTAATTACGTACATAGCTTTCAACCCCACATCATCCCTTCATCTGCTCCTTTTGGTGTCATACCTAATGTAATGCAGTATTCCATGTAGTGCTATTCAATTTAAGATAAAAATGTATATATTTTAAAATTTACAACAATCTGGGGATAGCATTGTAGAGAGTCCGCCGCTGAATGTTGCCATCGTTGTGTTTGTTTAAATTACTCTTCATTTTACTTGCTGTTGTAGAATTATTTTATTTTTCTCTGTAGACTGCTCTTGTGCTATATTTCTATAGTAAATTACACCAACAAAACACACCCAAAATACCCGAAATGTAAAAAAAAAACATAGTCAATCTTTATGATATCGTGTTTTAAAACATCATCAAAAAGAAACGTGTAGAAAAGTAAACTGCAAAATTCTTTTGATGTTTGTAGGTGCTGATTAATTCCTGTAGTTAAGGGGAGATTTCTACTGAGAAACCAAAATAAATAATAAACGCACTGTAATAACACTACTGACAACTGTAATAACTCTACTGACAACAATGTACTCCATAATACATGAAAATGATGCACCATCAATAATTTTCATTGAAGATTGAATGGAATTAATACTTTAAATTTCACCAAACAGTAGTGACGATAATTTTATTGAAAAACTAGGCTCTTATTATATTAAGGAAATACAACATAACCTTTAAAAAACGTATTGACATTACATTCAAGTTTCATTCAGTTTACTGTAATCAGAGGTAGACTTACTCAAATGAATATCAAAAATTTTAAGATGTCTCTTTGATGTCTTTATAATCTCGAGCAAATCGTTCAGATTATTCAGGTGGATATAAAAATTGCAACTCACCACCATTCATGTGCTTAAAGTTTCCTGCTTCATGATTGGAGATTGATGTAGGCACTGGTATCTCTAATAAATACAAATAGTGAATGCGTTACTGATTTTCCTGCAAGTTTATAAATGCATTACACTAGATCGTAAGCTACAAAATTTTCTGCAAGTTAATGAATACGTTACACCGTTTTGTATGCTACAGATATTCCTCTAAATTAATAGCAACAAAAAGAACTTATTTTAGTAAAGAGCTCGTAGGTGTCATTAATAAATATTCAGTTATTATCTTCACTTACAGCTCTGGCTAGATAAATTGTAATACAAAGATTTATTTATGGTTTGCAAACTGATAATAGAATATATACAGAACTGATAGATAATCAACGAAAATGTAAGTGATGAAAGGATGATTACAAAATATGGATATAAAGTGTACAGTTCATATTAAATGTTATTTTATCAACATATAATGTAGTTAGTTGTTAAGAATCTCATGACAGATCGGATGTTTGTTTTCCACTGAAAAAAATGGGTAAATAAGTATGTTTGTTTTACAAAGGCTGGATTCATGGTGGATTCCGAAAGTGTTCCTTAGCAGAAAGTAGGCAGAAACAGATTTCAATCTAGAACTGTAAAAAATATACTGCAACATCTTTCAGAATGCATTTTCATATTTTAATGTGTGTGTGTGTGTGTGTGTATTTTGTGATTCTTTCAGATGTTGAACTTTTAAACCATCAAATATCAGGTAATATTGGATCTTTAATTATAACGCTTACCATAGAGCCGAATCGAACCCTGTGTGGAACCCAGCGAATTTTTGGCAAAACAACTGTAAGTTCCAAAATCTTCTTTTTCTAAATTTCGTATGGATAACCTCATATGAACTTTGTAAGACTTCTCTTTTGATGAAACTTCAAACTTTTTGTTAGACAGAATCACTTCACTTCCCGTTTTCTTCCAAAAATTTATAGAAACTGGATAGGCCTCACTATGGCAATCCAAGGAAGCTATTTCCCCAACGTGTGCACCAACCAACTGGTTAGGAACCCACAAAACTGGAGGAACTATGAAATATATTGAAAAAATACGTTTTATTGCAATATATTTAATCCACGTGACTTATAACCGAAGATGTGTGTACTTTGTGCTGAGAGTGGCTCAAGTGATAGAATATCACTAGATGACACTGCTATCATCAGGTCCGAGCAATGACAATAACTAATTCTCGTTAACTTCCAGTTTCTTTAACATTTCTTATGTTTTCTTTGTTTTACCTTGACGTCGCACTTTATACTGTGACTTCATTCAAAATTGTTCAATTAAATAGAAAATATAACACATTTCGAAATTAAGAACAAAATATGACTTGTGTAACTATGTTATCACGAATTCTAAAAAGGTGTCATACACGTTGTCAATCAATATTAAACTAATATACTATTCAGCTTATTCAAATCACATAAACGATATTTTTGTTCACACAAATAACACAACTATTGTTCTTCCAATTAATATAAGAGAACATACGTTTACAGGAATAAAATATGGCGTAGCTCATTTAGACATAAATAAGTATAATACATTTTAATTAAGTATCGGGTTACGGATTGGGAAGTTCTGAGTTCGAGCCGCGATGCCTCTAAACACTCTTCGCGCTTTCAGATGTAGGTGTGTTATAAAAGTGGCATTTAATTCCTTTATTCAGTTCTAAAAACCAGACCAAGCCTTTCTAGAAGAAGATGCTGTTAGCTGGCTATCTACCTCTGGTCAGTAGTTCAAAATCAGTGAGGGCTATGTTCGAATTATAGAGTCTCTGACTTGGCAGTTTATCCCATGTTCTTATAAGTTGCCGTTCATGTAGAAATATTCAAATTCTCATTGAAATATAAAACTCAAGTACAACTTGAAAATGAACGTTTAAGATAAAGTTCAAAGGCAATCAAACTACGGTTGATTTAAATAAGCACACGATACAACATTTTCAAACAAACTCAAAATACAGCTCATTCTGACATAAAAAATGCAATTTATTCAAATTCAAGTTATAGTTAATTCATATGTACAAACTATACCGTTGATGTAAACAAACTCAAATTATAATTAATTCAAATGTACACACTGTATCGTTGATGTAAACAAACTCAAATTATACTTAATTCAAATGTACACACTATATCGTTGATGTAAACAAACTCAAGTTATAATTAATTCAAATGCGCACACTATACCGTTCATTTAAACAACACGCCTTACAATTAACACAATTATATATATATATATATACGTGCAGTTTTCTGATACCGTTTCAAGGCTGTCATATTTTTAACATACTTCTAAGTGTTTTGTACCACATACATAGCAAAGAATTTTTGTGTAAAGTTTTGTCTCAGAAATCTCAGTATATTTGCATGACAACTTACCAATGTTAATTCCTCGACATTTAAGATGAGTTCTTTGCCAGATTTTATTACCAGTACGTAATCTATCGAACCCAAGAGAAAATCGTTCTAGTTTTAGCTAATAGTGTTTACGTTAAACCCATATTCGTTGCGTTTTATGTAACAGTTAATTTGGATTAATTACAAAACTAGCAGACAGTATATGTCACATACATCATTTCATCTATCACGCTTCTCTACATTATATATCACGACATGAATCTCCACGGGTTTTTTATTATTTTCCACTGTGTTTGTTTTATCGTCACAGCGTTAGATATAACATAGACAACGGTATTGTTTAAATATTACTGCTCTTAGTTGTTCTAGCTCTAAATGTTTCACATTGTAATAACTATGTATTTTCACTTCTTAGGACAAAAATGTTCAATTACAGTTTCGAACATGGAAAATCTGCATGTCTACGACGTATTTTCTTTATTTTTGACTTAATGTTCCTTTCCATATTAAGTTTGATGCCACTATATTTCAGTGGTGTGTTCGTTATATCTGTCAAGTATATCTTATAACCTTAAATTATAATATCTTTGTATGTAACGTATGGTCTAGTTGCATTTGATAACTAGTTAAAATAAAAGCACCTATGTCTTGGCTCCAGTCTATTGGTGCAAAATTAAACTACTAGCCCTACTTTAACAAAAATTCTGAAACAAATATACAAACCTATGGTGCAAAAGAAGTTGAATGGGAGATTGAAGTTAAATCTAAGTTCGTTGTTCGAATAATTAAAAAACGAACAATGAACCGGGTTTGTTTTTCGTTGATCGTATTTTTAAATAACGAATAACGAAATTTTCTTTGTTCGTTTTGGCAGCTATTGAATAACGGAAAACGAACAATAAACCAATTTGATTTTCGTTGTTTTCAGTATTTAAAAAACGAACTTTTTTTCATTTTTTATTTTTTAATACGAAAATATGAACAAGGAACCAGGTTATTTTTCGTTTTTCTATTTTTGAATATGAAAACAGGAACAAAAACCGAGTTTATTTTGCGTTTTCTATTTTTGAATACGTAAACATGAACAAGGAGCCAGGTTGTTTTGCGTTTTTCTATTTTTGAATAATGACAAATGAACTGTTTCTTTATTTGTTTTTAAGCTAATGAATAACGAAAAACGAACAAAGAGCCAATCTGTTTTTCATTGTTTGATTTTAGATTTCTGGATAACGAAAACTAACTGGTTCCTTTTCATATTTTATTTTTTGAACAAGAGAACATGAACAACGAACCAGCTTGTTTTTCAGCTTATGAAAAAAAAAGGAAAACAAACTAATTCTTTGGAATATCAACAACGAATCAGTTTGTTCTTCATTCAATTGCTTTGTTGTTTGTTTTAAAGCTACTAAATAACGAGAAACAAATAAAGAACCAGTTTGTTTTCCGCTAGTTCTTTTTATCATTTTTTTTCATTTTTGATTAAGAGAACATGAACAACAAACCTGTTTGGTTGTCGTTGACCATTTTTTGGTCTTTTGTATAAAGAAAAACGAACTGGTTCTTTTTTGATCTTCAGTTTTTGAATAAGGAAAAACGAACTTGTTTTTTTTTTCGTTTTCAGTTTTTTAGTAAGGGAACTTGAATAAGAGAGCATGAACAAGGAACCAGTTTGACAAACGAATTTGTTTTCTTTTCGTTTGTCAGTTTGTAAATAATAGAACATGAACAACGAACCTGCTTGTTTTTTGAGTAATGAAAAACGAATGTTTTTTTAGCTACTGAAAAAGAGGCCAAGTTTTCAAATAAGAGAGTATGAATAAAGAACCAGTTTGTTTTTCAGCTTTTGAATAAACGAAAAACTAAGTGATTCTGTTTTCGTCACGATTTGAATAAGGGAACATGAAGAACAAATCAGGTCGTTTTTGTTATTCAAAAAGCGACACACAAACTAGTTCGTTGTTCATGTTTTCTTATTTATAAACTGAAAAATGAAAAAAGAATTAGTTCGTCTTTCGTCATTCAAAAACAACGAAAAATAAATGGTTCTTTACTTGTTTTGCGTTATTCAGTTGCTTAAAAACAAACAAACAAAGAAGCAATTCGTTTTTCGTTATTTAGAAAACGAACAGTGATCTTCGACCTAAGTTTAAGTGGTTATTGAATTGTCGTGATAATTGTACAGCGTTAAGTCGATTGAAAACTTTTAGCCGAATCAGTTTTATACGTGCAATTACTCCCTGATTCTTTTTTTAAAATAACAGTGTTATAGTTCTCAATGTAAAATGTCGATGATATTAGTATAACATTTCATAAAATTGTTTAATTTTAAATCTCTACAGATAAACTTCTCTGAAATTGAAGTTTCTTCGAAACTTAATCAAATAGAACAGCTAATCGAGTTTATGAATTAAGAAAGTATTAAAAAATATCAATTTGGACTTAGTTTAATGCAATGATGTGAAAATCATAATCTGGAGTAATTTAATTAAAAGTTACAAGGATATTATATGCTATAAGTTCAGTGATATTTCATTTAGATACTGTTATACGGAGAGTTAATCGCACTTTGTACGATCATTTCTCCAGGTCACATGGCGCTCACTGTGACACTGATAATTATACGACATCGTCCAACACCATGTGCGCAGTTTACATTGTGACAACTTTCCACAAATGATATCAGACCATATATATTGACAGATTTTCCAAATACCCTCCACTAGTAGGTAGATGTAGCTTTCTTCGGCTATATTTAAGCAAATCAAACGTATAGAAGTCTGCCATAACGTTCAGTCAGGTGACTTTGTAGACATGTGTAACGAATTTATTATATATTTATTTCAATATCAACGTTTGTTTAGATTAAATTTATATTAGAAACACACATACATACAACTTATACTGTTAAATGTGTATTGAGAAACTCCCGCCTATTCTCCAAAGTTGTAGAA